GCAAACGGAACCTGCAGCAAATGCATACGGGTTCCCTGAATTCTTTCACGTGCCAACGACTACCATGAGTGCTTGCTTGCTCTATGTCAACCCGAGACTGAACAAGCGGGCTCTTAATTTCACCAGGCAAATCCTTGCCTGTTTATGAATGATTAGTGTGACTTTTGTAGTATATACGTACCTTACACATTACACATGCTTGTGTGGCATAATTAGGTCTTTGGCTTCTTGTTCACCGCCAGTGTTTTCAGATGTGATGTGATGAACGCTGCCCAAGGTTCCCTAAACTGATGGGGTCGCCTTCTGCCTTGAAACTGGCAGAAGCCGGCAAAGGTTGAATAAGCCGCTGCCGAGGCGCATGACAATGTGCGGCCTGTACTTCTTGCAGTGGCAGGCACACTTTCCAGTCCTGCAAATAAAGAAAGAAAAAAACAACTCTTACCTCACCATGTTCCTAGATCACCGCGGTTCTTCTTGAGTTGGTACCCCAAATCGGGGTTTTGAAGAGAAGCCAAAACGAAGCCAGCCCCCTGATTCTTTGGGCGTTCTCAGCTTACGGGTCTTTTCCCATTTGCCCTGCACAAGATCCATGGGTTCAAATCCAAACCAATCCAAACCACCAAATAGAGGGTGACTGACCTTTTGCTCCTAGGCAGGGTGGTTTCCAATCAACCCTCGGCAAGAACTAAGGGTATCAACTCCGATTTGGAGGAAGACAATACAGGAACTTTGGACCGCCAGCCGTCGTCCACTCGCTCCTCTTCCACTCCGCGGAGTCACAGAGGCTAGCAGAGACCTGCTGACACCAGAAAAAAACACACACAGAGGGACAAGGGCAAAAATCAGTTGGGCGTGAATTTCAATAGGCCCTTTGCTGGACATCATTTAGGTGGGGATTCTGTCCACCCATGTCCACCAACCACTTTGAAGGTGGTGCCCCCTCGAAGTTCATAGCCATTTGGCTTGAAAGGGAAGCCAAAAGGAATACCACAATGTTTTGTGTGTTTTTTTTGGAGGGGGTCCCCGAAACAAGACACACCCATTCATTCCTTGGAAGCTGCTGGAAATCACTTCGTATCAATCTTGCAAAGGTTGTGAGTACTGTCTACAAATGCCAATAGTGCAAGTACGGTTGAACTTGTTGCGGAACCCCTATACATTTCACCGCAATTGACAAGGGTTTCGTGGCCGAAGGAGACAAATGGAACCAAGGACAAAAACCTGCGGTCCCCTGGTGATTTATTTTTGATCCATACCCATATCGAAAATGGTCTGCCTGGGCCATTTGGAATTTCGGAGATTGACAAGGGAGCTCTCTTTCTCCCTAACTCAAATGAGAATCCACCCAAATTCAGTGTCACTGGCCATCTGCCATTGATTCAGGATCCCTGGTTGTTGAAGCTGAGAGAAGTCTTGCAAAAACTTGCGCTAGAAGAAGGAGGGCCTACGCTAATCACTGATCAATTGATCTTCCGAGGCCACGATCCATCGCCAACCAATGTGACTGAGCTGCTATGCTTAGCTTCAAGGAATGCAAACAATCACAAGGAACCATGCCTTGTAAGCATTCTAGAACTGACACAGTGCCACGCCTTTCATTTGACTAGAGTCTGGGCACACTTAAGTGCAAGGCTCAGATTCACCACGAAACTCCTGTAGTTGTCGGTTTCCCGTCTGTTTGGGCAAACCCACATTCAGCTTCAAGGATCGCAGCGCAGAACTGAGCGCCTTTGATAGGCGTCGCATTGGGTCAGCTTGGAACTGTGGATAGGGGGAATGCTTGACAATGCATGCTCGGCCGCTGGCTTGTCGGTTTTCACATGGCCGCCGGTCATCCAAAGACATGCGATACTATGTCACTCTCGATATGCGTGTGGATGTATTATATGACATGGTCTGATACAATGTGATAATGTGATGTCATTCAAGAGTGACATAGTATCACATGACTTGGGATGACCGTTGGCCAGGTGCAAACCGGCAAGCCAGCAGCCGAGCATGTATTGTCAAGCATTCCCCCTTCACCTATCCACCACAAGTCTCATAATTATCCCCAGTAATCACTGTACATCTATTACTTCCATTTGCTTAAGCCCCTGGAAAAGACACACACACACACATATTTCCAGTAGTGATAGATTCCCTCTACCAGCCACGGGAAAATTAAAAATATATATAAAATCTTCAGCAAATGGATGATTACTCGGCTCTTATTCAGCACGGATCCTGGCCATAGCCTTCACCCGGATCCCACGCCTCTGGGCAGTCCTCTTGGCATCCCGTGTTGAAGACCGGGATCTCCTGCGCTGTTGGATCGGAGGGATTCGTGGACTGTCTGGAGGGGTACCTCCTTTTTTGGTGCTTGAAATCAACAGGGAATGAAACAAAGGGGCAAACAAACACTGGAAACAAGTCCTTGGCTCAGCACCCTAGGCTTCTTTTCCTTGGACATTCGGATACTTGAATCCGTGTGACAAACATCATGTGGTGTTGGCATTCACATGCAAACACTTAGACATGCAAGACCATGTTGTTCAACGGTGAAAGGGAAACCACAATGTTTGGGGTGCCCTATTTGGACACATAACAATTCATGGGTGTGTGGAAACCACACTTACAACACTTACCTTCTCTCCAGGTCAACCTTCTCTTGACATATTCTGAAGTAGCCAGGCAAAGTCAGACATCCTTCTCTAACACAGAACCGTCACCCATTGCTTGGCGTCTAGGTCGCCAATCGCTGAGGGTACCGCTGGTCCTAAGGCCCCTTTGGCCTGGAGAAAACTGCCTTCGCTTTGGATGGCTCATGGGGGGAAAAATGGTACTGACGGACCACGGACCCGATAGGCCTGGCTTGCCGGTTCCTGATGGCTTCGATGGTGAGGGGAATGCAAGAGAAATCTTTTCGCAGGACACACACGCACACTCCGTCAGAAAAACTGCAGCCCCCACCAAAGCATGTTGGAGTCATAACCCCGCGAAACGCAGGCAGAACCTGCGTTTCTGAGGAGTTGCAGTAATTAAACAAATAATTATCTCCCATTCCATCTGTAACATATTTGCTTTGTGGAGAACGTTCTGTCTACAATCCACCCTTGGCGTGGCTCTTTGTCTTTCATTTCTATATCCATTTTCTCCTTTGAGGTTTTATTCTTTGTCATGCTTTTAATCTGCATGTTCTGTCTTCTAATCATCCAAACAGGAATTCAACAGTGTTCCTTACAATACTGGAACATACATACATAAATATGTTATATCAACTATCCAATCTGTACCCTCTTCACATTACCTCCGGGTCATCTTCTTTCTCACATCCTTTACGCCAAAATGCCATGTTCAAAGGCGGTCCAAATCATAAATGCAGGATGCATTATCTTACTTGTATCTATCTTCATCTCGTTTGATTTCATGAGAAGTCGCTGATCTTCATTCGATTATCGGAAACCTGCACTGAACGGCTGAGACATGGGGATGCTTTTAGGCCAACTCCCTTGCGCACATGGCATTCTTGAGGCTATCCACTTTGGCTTATTTTGAAGGGCGAAAGGGGAACCATCCATTCTTGGACTCCCCCATTTGGTGTCCTGTTGGGAGCCCCCTTTTGGATGGTGATTTCGGGAGAAAACAACAGAACACAGGGTCCGCATTGTTTGATTCACACGGCAAGACTTTAAGACATGTGCAGCCAAGTTGCTGGCGCTGCTGCCGTTGTGCTTGGCGCTACGGTTGATGTGCTTGGCGCTATGGTTGATGTCCTGAAAGCAAGGGGAAAACAACGACACTGCTTGTGATTCCATACGTCTTGCTTCTTGAGCTGCTATATGACGCATTCGCAGAAGCATATGGGTGTGTCTTTTTTGAGGGTACGCCTTATTTTGTGGATTTTCAGGAAACCATCTTCTTCTTCTTCTTCTTTCTTTTTTTTTGGGGGGGGGTCCAATCTTAAAAAAGACGACCCATAGCGTGAAGTACTTTGATCTCTTTTTAGGCATGCAGGGACTGACGCGTGCTGACGCCAAGCTATTGGACCCGCTTGGTGCCCCGCTGCTCAGCGGCCATGAGCCCTTAGGGTCCTGCTGACCCATATGAGTCACAATCAAAACCCGGCATTAAAATGTTGACCCAGAACCATGTAAGGAAATACAAAGGTGGCTGCAACTATTTATGACTGGGATTGTCCCTTACTAACCTTCATCTACCCGGGTTTTGTTGGTGGCTCATATGCCTTAAAGCGAGGAGATGGGCAGGGCCAGCTTCTGGGTACATCCGGTACACCCTCAGAACCATCCTTGTGGCTTTAAGATGGGGCATGCAAATTTCGGGTCTGAAGGACCCCTTTGCCGGCTTGCCGGTTCTTCCTCGTGAATGCTATGCGTCTTTTGAAAAATGAGCGCTTCGTTTGGGTCAAACTCAGAGGGTTTGCATCTTCCACTGAAATGAACAGCCTCGGTTTCTACACTACCAGGGGGGCTGCTTACTTAACCCACCGTGGAAATGGAATCCGTTCGGACACCATTTTAACTCCATGACGCCCTTCTGGCCGGCGGAAACTGGAAAAGCGAGAGCCGAGAACCCAGCCCCGGCCTCGCCGCGGCAGTCGTGGCGTGGCACAGGGGCAAATCCTGGAGTTGGCCATGGGTCAAAATCCGAATCGTACCCCCAGTGAACATCCGATTCAATCCCCACTAAAAAAGACTAAAATGGGTGGTGAACTCACCTACCCCAAAATGGTACCATTGGTTTTGACCCACAGTCAGTTAAGCGCGGAAAGCCGCAGCCCCCGAGCCCATCCGATATTGATGGGTAAAATCGGTGACAAGAGCCAGTCACTGGGTGGTAAGTGTCGAAAGGCAACTGTGAAAAGCGCCTTTGTGAACAATCGACGATTGCATGGGAACTAGCTGAATGTTAATGCCGGCAAGAGAAGGATAACATGCGGATGCAAGGGCTCAGCGTTTTCAAACACTCAGAAGTGGGGCCAAGATCTGTCTGCTTAAGCCCCATCATGCCTCAAACTATCTCAATTTATGGGGCAAGCTTGTTGTTGTGTCACCCATCTATTGGTGTTTCTTGTTAGTCGCGACAATATGCTCCCGCACTGTTTAACTGGCAAACACAACATATGCACCTGCAAATCACACCGCACCTGCAAATATGAACTGTTTCCAGAGCACGAGTTTTATCATCCACCTGTAGAAGCATGCTCAATGCAACTTGTTCACCAGCTAGCACCACCAGTCATTGCGCATTCCATACTCACATATATCGTCAATATACACGAGCGCATCGTATTGAGGTTGACTTGACTGTATCTCTCGACCTGGACACTTTGAACAAGCATGGAGATGCCCATGGATTCCCATTTGAAGTCCAACTGTGCCCAAGCACACGGAGCAAAACCGCTTCAATTGAAGCTACCAGGTCTTTTGACTGGACGTAGATGCAACAGACATGTGGCATCCAATCAGTCATCTCTGTGCAGCAAAAAACAATGCCTGTGAAATCCCCATCATCGAAGTCAAGCTGAAGCAAGACTTGCCCCTAAACATCTCACGACTTGCTGGTTCTCAGTAAGGAATGGCCTAGGGTTTTGAACGACACCACAAGAAAAGGTTTTCTTGTGGGTCAGTCCATTTCTCATTCCCTACCAATCGAACTAGCAAGACGAGTCGGTCCTTCTCGCACCATTCCTCTAGCTCCAGCGAGCATCCCGAGACACCCATGGCACAAAGCATGCGCTGGCCACCTAAGCAGCGCTCCAAATCTGTTAAGTTTGGGTTCCGACAACATGGGCATAGCGATTCTCACAGTATTCCAATAAAATGCTCTAACATCCCCACAGGGTGGTAGGGTACTTCTGGCAAAGTGGGGCTTGGGGTAGCGCAATGGTGCTGCCTAAAAAGTACTTACTTACATGATACCCGCCCACAAAAAGCTTTGGTTACGCACATGAACATGACTCACCGCTGTACACAAAACTCCAAAAGCAACCACCACCATCATCACGCACACACACACACACACAAACAGAAACCGAAACACACACACACACAGACACACAGACGCGCGCGCACACACACACACACGCACAAAGAAAGAACAACTCGCACCAACACACAAATACACGCTACAGCGCAAAGAGACACAAACACAGAGTCGCACACATCTCCACTGAGTGCCAAGATGCCGCTGGTCGTTTCAAAGTAATTCCCGGAGCTGCATAGCTCCTGCCCGCGCCGGTTCTTTCCCAATTCTGGGTATACATCTCCTATTTGCTCGGTCAATCCTTGGAACTCAGAAAGCGCGGCCACTTGGCCACAGCCCGTTGGCGATTGTGTTGGCGAAATTCCAAAACATATTCTTCACTAGAGTTGTAAATACATAATGTTGTCCCGCTCCCAAAGTGATGAATCCACACTAGAAGGGGACACCCCCTATGAATCAACCAGGGGGGCTCCAAGAAATTACATACTCTCCTCCTTCGCAGAGCACTGTGCTATTGATCCTTGCACTTTGGCCCGTGCTTGCTTGCGTCCCTTGATGTACGCGTCTAACTGTTGGGCAGTTGCAGTTTGGGCCGCGTAAAGAAGAAAGTGGCCTTGGACTTCAGCCCTGACTTTCTGATGGGTTGCAGTCTCCAGCCAATGGGTCAGGCTAATTTAGAGGAAGCATCCTGCGCAGCACCTCATAACATGCCACATTGAGCAAGTCTAACCCAACCGGTCCTGCGTCAAGTCCGCGCATGTCATGTTCAGAGTCCTGAGACAAGTCGGCCCATCTTAGAATACTTTCTGAGATTGCCCCTTCGAATGATGAGTTTCCACCAGCATGAACAGTTCCCTTTAGAGGGGACCTTTCTGGCGACATGTGCCATCCAAATCACCCAAAAGTACTGGTTTCGCTTAAACAGGGAGAGGGAGGTGGTTCCCAGATGGGTTTCCCTGAGCCCGTCCAACAAGGGGTCCCCTATTTCCTATTTGGCTTTGGGTCAAAATTATACAGCTGGGGTTACGCAGGTTTGGTCTACCTTTCCATTTACCAGGGTTCTCTTGCCGCTACCCTGGCCATACAAAAGTCCCTCCACCCCGCATGCCATTCCAAACTCTTTTTGGATTTGGAGAAAGACACGCCCAACTTGGAAACCAGTGTATGCTCAAAGCGAATTATTCATTTTCCATTGAATGAATGAACCGTAGAAGGGTTCCTTCCAGCCTGTACTGGTTTTTGACAAGGAAGCCTGAGCACTGCAACCAACTTGCTAGCACATGGCACCATGATAAACTCGACAAGTAAGAACGTGTGTGTAGTGCTCGTGTGTGCTCGTGTGTGCTCGTTTGTGGGTTCCTGTGTGTGCTCGTGTGTGTGCTTGTGTTTGTTCTCTTGTTTGTCAGGCTCTGCTTCTGCGGCTGCTTTTGTGTGCCTGCCTCTGGAAACCGAAGTTCGAAGGCTTCCGGAGCCGGGATCTCGCTGAGGCGAGCACGTGACGTCTTGCTTGGCGCACAGGGAGAAGCAGAAGGGCGGCACCATCGGCTCCTTGGACTTGGCGGGAGGTTTTTTTCAGATTTTCTTTGCGCGAGGTATCAAAGGCAAAGAACGCAGGTGGGGTTTTTCATCGCGGAAAGGAGTCAGAGGGTGCTCAACTTCGCGGAGGAACGCTTCTTCAATGGCTGCGGGCCTCAGGGGACTTCTCTTAAGCGGTTGCCCGGGGAAATTGGACTCAACACCAATCTCAAGAACAGCAACGCCTATGAGGAACCAGTTGCTCCTAAAAGAATCCGGGTTGACAATGATGGGAGGGACCCCTGCTGTGAAATGTCAGCTTCTGGCGAGTGAACTGCAACCGGTATCCTGAGTCCACCGCAAACAGATCCCTGGATTGGTGGTATTCCTGTGAAGGATGCTGGTGAGGGGGCAAGAGTTGGGGCCAGTTGCTGTGAGACACGCTTAATCTTGGAGAAGGGCCATTCATTGGCACAAACCCACAAAAATACTATGGATGAACAAAATCCCTTCGCGCCACTTTGACACCATGGGAAACCATGGTTGTTGATATTTACAGGGGACCTGTCCAGGCCTGTCCCTGTCATGATTGCGGGTTTGGGCCTGGGCACTCGAGTTTCCCGGCAAAGAGCCCTTCCCCAGTTCCAGTGAAGGAGTGTCTGCGACACTACGGACCATGGCTTGACTCGCGTTCAATTCTTGACGACACTTCACCGAGATGAGGTCCTCCAGTAGAGAGGTTAGAAGAAGGGTACCAACTTTTTGCTGTCTATTTTAGTAGGGGAACTCTCTCCCAACCAAAAAAGGGAACGGTAAAAGGGCACCAATTGCCGGGGGACCTAGGAGATGCGCGCGAAAAACGCGCACCCTCTTGGTCCGGCGGCCTGTCCCTCCAAAAGTGGCCTCTGAATCCCCCGCCTTAAAACGGGGACACCCCACGATCAAAATCAAGCAGGGGGTTTATTAACCTGGGGCTTACATTAATGGGGGATGTTCCTCCAAGTTAAGGATACCAGCGCAACTGGGTAGCAGCACCTCCCTTGCTTTTTCAACCAGGGGTGATGCATCAAGCGGATTCCCATCACCAGGATTGTGCGAAATGATGCACCGCAGTTCGCGCTGCTCAAAAGGCAGCACAACATAACAAGGTCCAAGAAAGATCCCCACTTTTGACGAGCCTCAAGCAACCCCAAAAACATCGTACAGTAGATGAGTAGACTGGGAGGTTCGGCTGGGCCAGACTCAACCCCACTGCTTCTTTCGGTTTCTAACGTTTTGCGATCTGAAAGGGAACATGATGGACAACCAAGAAGGCCTAAAGGCTCCAAAGCCAAAGCTAAGTCTGGCCATGCACCCCGCCCCCCCCGCCGCCCTCTCGTCCCCTTGCGGCTTCGCGAAGGCGCCGGCAGCTCCGCCGGCAGTGCCGGGTCCGACGCGCAAATGGGCTGGTCGACGTGGCAGGAGGCGGAGGTGTCCTCGCCCGGGAAGCTCTTCAACTCAATCTGCCTTTTCGTCCCTGACCCCCCCCCCATTGCCGCAGGTGATCTGTAGCCACCCCAATCATTGCAAAACCTGGAGGTGACACAGAATCACAAATCGGTACCAACAGGCACGATGTGCCCAACTGTGTAACAACAGGCATTCCGTGCTCCAAACACTCCGCAAGGAGGGCGCCCCCGCCCCCCTCCCCGGCCCCAATTTGCCAGCCGGACATGGCTCGTGTCACGCTTTTTTTGCCAAGCTTCTAAGCTGCAACCGGACTGTGACCAGCTGCACATTGCGCGATTCCCGTTGATGGTGGCGTAGTAGTTCTGAGTCTTGCATTCGGCCTAGCAGGTTCCAGAGGCTGGCTCGTCTGTTTCGCCGCCCTTTCACCTTGGCTTGAAGCCAAAGGGAAACCAAACCGCTTTGGGGCTGACCATATTGTCTGACATACCCACATTTCCCGTTTTTTTGGGTGGCTTAGATGCCACCGGTTGCATACCAACAGATCCTTCGTGGGGTGGAACCTAGGGCTTGCTTCCAATCACTTCGCTTCGCTCACCCTTTGACTCTGAGGCTGAAATGCAGTTGGCTCCTAAATGGTTGCAACATTTAATACAAAGCTCTTAGTCCGTAAAGGGAGCGGCTCCCGAGTCCCAGACCAGCTTCGAGGCGCACCACTTGTGCCACCCCTTCAAACAACCAGACAAGAACAAGAAATGGGTGTGTGGATTTTTTGGGGGACCCCCCAAATACTGGTTGTGCTTCTGGTCTCCTTTAAAACCACCAAAAAGGGGTACCCTCAAGAAAAGACGAGCCACCCAAATGGTGAACTCAAGCAGGACACACAACAACTCACCTCAGGCAACTGGGTGCCTCCAACAAACAAAGAGCCCCCTCCAAATTAAATGGCTTTCCAGCGAAACCTCAAGGACACCATTTCAGGGGCTGGCAAATCCGCGTGGGAAGCAAACAAACATGTCAAGAAGGCTCTAGGGTCAACCACCCAAAAGCGTTTTCACTGGCTCAGCCTTTGGAAGGAATACCTGGCAAATGAAAGCATGCCATTCCCGCACTCCATCGGCTCTCGCCTCTGACAGTTGTTCACATGCAGAGACGTGCGAACCGATGTCCACCTTCCGGCAAAGCGTGAGGCAAAATGCCTGAAGCACCTCGGCGAAGAGCACGTCTCAACATGCGACGTGCTCATTATCTTCATTCACAGAGAATCTTCCACCATTGTAGCAGAAAGAACTGCAAAGTTCTGCGACATGTCGTCTAAGCACTGTGTGTTGCTTGTTCTGTTGTGCATTTGATTCACTGCAACGGCATTGCCGCAAGGCACTGTGGTCGTCGTGGTCGTCGTTGTCGTCATCGTGGTGGTCGTCAAATCGGGGCACTCGGGTTGCGAGGAGCAGGTTGTTGACAGGTCCACGCTACATCCGACAGCTTCCCAGTGGCATGCTCGCAGTCCCTGGCAATGGCCAGCTGCAAAGTTCTCAATTCCAAAACCTGATCTGATCTTCAAAGGGACCTAAATCATGGGTGTCGTTTCAAATGGCGAGACCGCCATATACCCAAAATTTGTGGCATGTGGCATCTCCATATTTGAGTCTTTTCGACGCGTTCAATCTGCCCATGTTGACCCCACTTCAGCTGCAGCCCCAAGGCAGTTACGGCGGTGGCTGCTGCTTCTGAACAAGTTGATTGATCGATTGCTTCAGTCGTTCTTTTCTCCCTCCATTCATGCCACTCCATGCCAAGTCATGCCATTTTATGCAATTAGTAATTTCAAATCATGAGTTGATAGAGTTCAAACCAATCAAATTCACATCGTGCACCCTTCAATCCATGCATCCACTCCATCCCTTCATCCATCCAACCATTCATTCATTTGTTCACGCATTCGTTCATCCATTGATTCATCCATTCATCCCTCCATCCATCCCTCTGTCCATGCATCCCCCCTCCCAGCCTCCATCCAGGCATGCATCCATGCATCCATGCATCCATGCATCCATCCATCCATGCATCCATGCATCCATGCATCCATGCATCCATGCATCCATGCATCCATGCATCCATGCATCCATGCATCCATCCATCCATCCATCCATCCATCCATCCATCCATCCATCCATCCATCCATCCATCCATCCATCCATCCACCCCCACCCACCCACCCACCCACCCACCCACCCACCCACCCACCCACCCACCCACCCACCCACCCACCCACCCACCCACCCACCCACCCACCCACCCACCCACCCACCCACCCACCCACCCACCCACCCACCCCTCCATACCTTGCTTCATGGTTTCACTATGCTTCATTCATCATGACAGCATTGGTTCATTGCGAATTATTTGATCAATCAACTTGTTAAGAAGAAGAAAACGCAGCAGCAGCAGCAGCAGCAGCAGCAGCAGCAGGAGCAGCAGCAGCAGCAGCAGCAGCAGCAGCAGCAGCAGCAGCAGCCGCCGTAACGGCCATTGCTTTGGGACTGTAGCTGAAGTGGCAACATAGCAGATCGAACGCGTCGAAAGGGTCAAAAATGGAGATGCTACATGCCGCATCAGCCAGCCAGCAAGCCAACCAGTCAGATTTAGGTGGGGTACACATACATACATTTTCCTTAATATACTTGCACTTCCTAGTCCTAGACTCCTAGACATGTGCATGCATGCTACTTGAACATCAAGGTCCGAGCATGAAGCGGAATGCAAGGGGGATGTTTACTCAAACTCAGCTGTTGTTGGATGCTACTTGGGTGTAAACTTGAATTGGGGACTGTCTGGTATCACTTATATAGGTCCGCCAACCTGGGAGGGTCTTCCTCATTAAAATGCATAGCCGCTTGACAGCAAGCAATACTACAAACCGAGCACCAGGCTGCTAGGCACATGGATATTTCCTTGTGCCATGCGGGCTTGCTCATTTCCAGTGCTTGCCGTGAAAGAAATAGGACTCACACACACATATCCGAAGAAGAGAAAAGTCCTCTGCAACCATTAATGGCCGCCGCCCCCCTGTGGGGGTGGGGGTGGGGTTGGTTTAGGGTTGGTTTACGGTGGGTTTTGGATTGGTTTAGAGTTAGCTTAGGGTTGTGTGTTTGCGGTTGGTTTGGAGTTGGTTTAGGGTTTGCTTGGTGGGGGCGGGGGGTCAGGGTTCAAGGGGTGGGAGTCTGGGACTGGACATCTCTAGCACTGCCAGCATCATCCTGATTGATGCGGACGATGTGGGGGAGGCCCTACCCTTTGGGGGGGGGGGGTTGGCGGCCTGGGGGCTGGACTGTGTGTATATCATATATATATATATATACATATATGTATATATGGTCCCGTGTACCCCCCCCCCCCCCCATATGGTATGGGCCCCGAGCCCTCCGGATCCTGGCACCTACCCCCAGGACAAGCCAACCCGCAACCAACCATAAACCAACCCAAAACTAACCCAAAACCAACCCTAAATACACCCTAAACCAAACCCTAAACCGTAGACCTCTAAACCGTAGACCTCTAAACCGTAGACCTCTAAACCGTAGACCTCTAAACCTAAACCAACCCTAAACCACCACAACCCAACCACAGGACCACAACCACAGGACCACAACCACAGGGGGGGGGGGGTACTTGTCTGACCTATGACCATGGGGGGGGGGGCTCCACAGTGGTTGACCTGCACCCTTGCTTCACTTCCTGAGTCGACTGGCCAGGACAAGTCCACTCAAACTGTCCTCGAAAAACAAGAGCATCCTCTATTTGCTTGAGTCTGCTGGAAAAAACAACTTCCAGCAGCGATAGCTTCCCTTTAAAACCAATAGTAGAAATCAAACATGCCTTTGAGCAAAATGGAAAGCAGCACAAAAGCGCAGGAACCCAGGGAGCGAGTTGCCATGCCTCGTTGTCCACGAAGTGCTTACTGCACTGCTCCTCCGACAGTGCGCTGCAATTCCGCGACCGCGTCTTGTAGCACAAAGACTTGCAGAAGAGAGAGTCCGAATCCTGACTGCGTTGATCAAACAGACGTGTGCGTTCCACTTTAGCTCCAAACGAAGGGACCCGCCATGGCAGACCTAAATGAGGCCTATAGGCACGCCCTGTCTGGACACGTGGATGCTGTGGCCATTTGGGTACCCTTTCCAAGGCTGGAGAGACCCTGAAAATGATTGGACAACTTGCGTGCATATAATGTCCAAAGCGTCAAGTCAGCATTCACACCCATTTGGTGCGTGCCAAAATAGGGGACCAAAACAAAGGAGGGCGGTTCCCGTTTTTGGTTTCCCATTGAACTAGTAAAGGGCACTGTCCGTTGCGGAGCCTGGTGCCGGCTGATCGGTGCGCAGCGTCGCCCGCAGCTGAAGGATGCGCCAGGGACGCAGCGCCCAGCGTCGAGACCGCAGATGGCGTGCTTCCCGGCGCTGGAAGTGTAAAACTCGCCGCTGGCGCAAAAGCCGGCAGATAGGCTGGCGCAACCTGTGCAAAATGCTGCACCCAAACCAATGAACAGAAGTCAAAGGGCGGCCGCGCCTAATTCTGGTTGGGTCCCTTGCTAACCTTCGCTTAGATGGGTTTTGACTATGGCGCAACCTCTGCTTTTGCTGGGCAAAAAGGCATGACTTTAGGCAACTGAAGCCAGCCAAAACTCATAAGGCTCTTGCAGGACTGGGGGAGGGTGCTTTGGAAGATATCTGCCAAGGCAGCCAAGCAACTGGCGACAACTTGCTTGGAGCATACAGCCACACAAAGGAACTCCAAGTCCAAACCATCTTCGCTCAGCGGAGGCAAGGCCTCTGCCTCCAAATCTTTCTGGGCCACGGCCTTCTTCAACGTCTGCTTCAAGTTGGCCCTCGTAAAGCCGGCGAGGAGTGCGACGTCCACCTTGGCTCCAACAAATCCTGACGTAACGGCTGTCATTAAACTGAATTCACCAACCTGAAATTAGGGACCCCAAAACAGGAATCACAAGTGGCAAAGCATCTTGTGATGTCGCCCCAGCTTGCCCTAACCGGAACCTTTGGCCCTTTTTGCTTTAGGAAAGGCACGGCTTCTTGGAAGGCCAACATCGCAGGGCTGGACTGAGCCGCTGTTTCGTTCAGCGCCGACCAAAGGTCCTCGCACGGACCGGGTTGGACTTGCTGGTTCTCAGCAGGGAATGAGAGAATGACCAATGACTTATAAAGCATCCCCTTTGGCTTCCTCTAAGGGAATCCCTTCCGAAAACTCTGGGTCATTCCCAACTGAGCACCAGCAAGTTGAATGGGTCTAGAAACCATTTCCCTTTTGGGCTTTCCTTGGGAAAACAACAACCTAAATGCAGGATATTCATCACCCAGTGAATTGCTGGCGTCTTTCTTCGTTTCCTTGTTTGTCGGTTGGTTGGTTGGTTGGCTGGCTGGCTGGTTTTGTTTTGGTCACACCAACCGGTAAAGCAAGTCCTCTGCGGACAAGCCCACGGCGAGGCATTCCCTAGCAGCCGCCACCAGCGCTTGTTCCGCCGCCTGCGCCAGCCGGCCAAAAGACGCTGGCTCCATCGTCGTCTGCCTTTGCGCGTTTCGACTGCGACGGAGACGGTTTGCCCCTGTGGAAGTCAAAAGAATATTTGATTGGGGGGTCCACTTGTAGGGATTTATCACTTTTGGAGGGAACACAGCCCCTAAAAATACGTAGGACAGGTGTTTCATCTGGGGTCAACATTATGCTCCTGCCTCAGGTTTTGCCATATAGGAACTTCTAGACATGCCCATTCAAACAAAGGACCTATTCGTTTGAAGGCCTGAGCCGTTTGAGCCGAATCTGCACCAGGAAACGTAGTAGCCTCAAGCTCCGGCCGACTTTGGGGCTTGGTGGTCTGTGTCGGGCGAGTCGTTTCCGCTCCAAAAGTGGCGCTTGCGGCTGAAGTCGTGGAAATGGAGGGGCCGGAAGTCGTAGAAGCTGCGGACGCCGTGGAAGTTGCGGACGCAGAGGAAGCTGCGGAAGCCGCAGAAGTCGCGGGCGCAGTGGAATTCGCGGAAGTCGCGGACGCACTAGTTGCTGAGGAAGTCGCAGACAGAGTGGTAGCCGAGGAAGTCGCGGGCGCAGTGGTAGTTGCGGAAGTCGCGGACGCAGGGATGGTTGCGGAAGTTGCGGACACAGTGGTTTTCGCGGAAGTTGTGGAAGTCAACAAAGTCGTGCTTGACTGCGACGCGGCAGCGTGATCCACGCCGCTGTCATTCCCACTGTGTGAAGCGTATCCTTCTGCATCAACTTGGCAAATGGGCATGCCTCAGCTGGGTTCGACTCCTCAGAGCCACTGACAACCACAACACATGAGCAGGCCTCAGTGTATTGAACAACCGACCAGTCCCTTCAAAAGATGTAGTCACACTCAAGGTTCTTCTGATGTAAAAAAGCAATGGATGATGTTGAACCAATTCAGATCGGCCCTGGAAGGCTCCGTCAGGTGACTGGCGTTGCACACGAAAGAGCCGTCCACATTGCACTCGCCCTCGCTGAATCTGCAGTGCCTGCAGTCAATGCCAGCTACCCTCGCTGGTGTCCATTTGAAGTTGCCTTAAAAGTCACTCGCCAAAAGCAGAGAAATGCCCACCCACATGTTCAGTGCTGGTCCGACTGCCAGAAATGCAGGTGTTGCAGAGTTCAAATGCTGGGGTCTGGTGCACTTCCTTTTTCAAGCAAAGTATTCAAGCGCAATAAGGCTTGATGACAACATCGTCAACACCTATGGGTACAAAAACCAAGTCCGTGGGACACAGTCCTTTGACCTCAGAAGACCTCTTCGGAGACTTAGCAGCTGGGTCAGCGCTCGGGTATGAAACGGGCTCTGTTGCCTCTGTACATCTATGCATCATTCCAGGCAAATGAAGCCTAAGCCTCCAGTCCCGAGCTCCGGTGCCATGTTGTCTCTGTACATCTCGCTATCATTCCCAGTAAGCCAAGCCTCATAAAGCCTCCAGTGAGTCCAATTCCATGTATCACCTTAACCTTCACTTCTGGTTTGAGTTGGACTTGAACCCCAGCTTCTTGTCGAGGATAAATGGGAAACCACTACCAAACCACCAAACCACCAATCCAAACCACCAATTGAGGCTTATTATCTAAATGTACCCTCCCTCCAACCATGGAAGCTGACAGGAGCGTTTTGGAAGACTACCTTCCCTTTTGGGGAAGCCCCATGTCAACTTCCATGATTGTTGGCGGAAGGGCCCTGAAAACAAATCCAAACAACAAGTTTCTGAACCGAGCCTTCGGTTGCCCGCCACGTCGGTCTGATAGAAGTTCTCCGACTGGCAAAGCTCATCTGGCAGCTGAGCGCAACTCAGTTGTAGACTCCTGAGAGAAAATTCAAGACCGGGTCTGGCTCAAAATTGAAGAGCTAGGGCAAACCGCTGGTTCTGGTCTTTGGTTGCATTTGCCTTAAGGTCCCATTTTTGGTGCATTTCTTTGAGCCACAGCCGTACCAAAAGTAATGCGAGAAAGACCGCGGGGTCCCAGCACCCGAAGACTAACTCCTGCCTGCGTGTCTGGCTACTTTGATAGGTCAACAGTTGGGTCGAAATAGGGGACCCCTCTTCCCGTCAAAAAAGATGCTGATTACCTTTGGATTCCCTTCAAAACCAAAAGGGAACCTCCACATTGACCCCCCCAAAGAAAAACAGAAAAATAGGGCGGTTTCCTTTGGATTGCTGAAACCACCACATGAACCTCCCCCAAATATATACATATATACATATATATATATATATAAAAAAAATATATATATATAATATATATATATATAATATATAATATATATATATATATAATATATATATATATATATGTATAATAGACATATACATATATATATATATATATATAAAACGGCTGCTTTTTGTTAAGCCAAAAGGGCCCCACAAAACTACACACCCAGTTTCGCTAACCTCCGCCAGGCCGATCGAAGCTGAGTTCTCCTCACGTTGGTGCGGGTGCAGAAGTCGAAGCAGCCCTCAGGCACCACCTCAAAGAAACCGCGCTCAAACTTCCGCGTTCCACACGACATTCCCTACAGGAAATCCTGGCTTTCGGTGAGTATTTGGCCAATTGCCTGAAGTTCTTGCAACTGGCTTTTATGAAAAACAAAGCTTCTGAAGCTGTCCAAGCTGGTTCCAGTTGAGCAACCATTCCCTCAATGGGTCCCGAGTCCCTTGGTGGGGGGTGTTTGCAGCCCCTTGCGGCCTTTCGCAATGCATGTGCTTTTGTGTTTTCCTGTACGGTGTGGACAAACTTGCCTTGGAGGGTTGACAGAACGAGCATATTCATCTTTTCCCTTTCTGAAGGCCGTGATCCGCAGACCGAGCACGCAGGGATTGTGGCCCCGAGAGCAATGCAAATGCTCTGTGTTTTAGTGTAAAGCCAGGAACGAACTTTGACAGGCCCTCGTGGTGAAATGTCCTGACTGAATGGCCACAACGCTCTCTCCCGCATGTCATTGCAGTCTAAAAATCCTGGCTAGGGAATTCTGTTCAACTAGCAGAACATGCACAACCCAATCAAGCAAAACAATAAAAGCGACCCAGGGAGGATTCGAACCTCCATGTTTGCTGTCAGCCGCACACCGGACCCAGAGGGCCCGGGCGCAGATGCACGCCCTGCTTGGGCAGAAGCAACGCCTTGCCCATTAGGCAACTGGGTCAAGTGCTTGTGTTGACAAATTATTGTAATCTATGTCCGCTGCCCGCCTTGGATGAGGAGGAGAAGCAATGATGGTGAGGATGAGGATGAGGATGGGGATGAGGATGATCATTCATGGTGATGAGGGTGAGGAGGAGGAGGAGGGTGGGCATGAGGATGAGGATGAGGATGATCATTCATGGTGATGAGGGTGAGGAGGAGGAGGAGGGTGGGCATGAGGATGAGGATGAGGATGATGATGATGACGATGACGATCATGAGGAGCTGCGAACCAAACAAAAGAAACCCGCATTCCTGATTGAAGCATATCACACCACTCAAAGAGGTTAAATCTTTGGAAAACAACTCGATGTGAACAAACACAAAGCTCATTGCCTGGAAGGTTCAAATTTCACGTTGAGTTCACGAGGAATGTTCAAGTCCTCCATTTGCTTAAGCCCCCTGGAAACAAATCCAATAGTGATAGATTCCCTTTCAAACCAACAGGGGGAAACATATTCTTAAGCAACGGAAGAAGTAACGTCAAGCAGTCCAGTTTGGTCGGCGCCATGTTCATCTTTCCAGTGTGACGGTATGAGAAGGCAAACAGAAACCTGCCGATATCCGAGATCCCGGCGATGCCATTAGCTGTCATGTACGGCCTTCTTCTTCCAAGCATCAAGTGGTCCAGCAAATCGCCTGAGCTGAGACGGAGCTACGCCTACTATGATCATGCGTGGCTAACGGGAGGCTGCTGGGGCCTTCACCTCCATTTGCGCCTTAGTCACCTGAAGAAAGACACACACATCCAGTGGTGGTAGATTCCCTTTACAACCAAGAGGAGAAAAAACAATATTCTTAAGCAACTGGAATCCCATGTACGCGCCGCGTGCGTGCAGACCCAGACCCGCAAAAAATACGAACAAGACGCCTCTCTTTCAAAGAAAAAGCAGCACTTCGTCACTTCAACAAGCAAGGCCAACTTTTCATCAAAGCACTTGCCTCCTCCATATCGCTGGACAAACATCAAGTTTACATTCTTTTGTGACCCCCCGCGTGGTCTTCCCACATTTGTCAGAAAAGCTTCAAAGGCTGGATTTGGAGGTTTCCTGCGAGGATTTCCTGCATCTCTTTGAGGTTTGCATCTCTTTGAAGGTTTCTTGCCTCCCCTGACTCCAGGCAGCCACTATTCTGAGTAAAGAGCCATGAGGACACAAGTAGCGCGCCTGTGTCAGTAGAAGTGGACGTGCTTGTGGTCGTGGTCGTAGAAGTTTCGGTGGTGGTGGTGGAAGTGGTAGTGGTAGTTGCAGTGCTTGTGCTTGTGGTACTACTGGTTTGGGTGGTAGTCGTGGTTGTTGAAGTTGTTGAGGTTGTTACCTTCACAGCCGGCGGGTTCCAAGCACCACTACCATGACTTCAGCTTCGCCCAGAATCCCTCTATGCGCCTTTTCCGATTTCCCGACTTCAGGGTAGAGCCGGCTGCTGGCACGCAACCCTTCCCAACGAGTTGTTGGGTTCTTTTCTCCAAGCTTCGTCACAAGAGCGGTCCCAAGCCTTAAGCTGATATAGTGGATGGCTGCACCAGGAAATGAAACCATGGATGAAACCATTGTTTGTTGGTATTTACAGAGGAATCATATTCTAGGACTTCTTAGGTGGTGCGACATGGATTTCGTCCAGCCACAGTTTTTATTTGCTTCATTGACTGTGTGGGTCGCATCATTGTTCCATCAGCGACGGCTCCAGCCTTGCGCCCGCAGGGCCAGTTGCAGGTAACACAAGCCTGCGTCCAATCCTCAGCGAGGTCAGCAAGTGCATTGCCCGAACTCTGCGTGAATAGCACCGAATTCCAAGCGGTTCCCCCAGCAACAGAAAGCCAAACTTGGGTAACTCGCCACGTTCAGCGAGAAACGAGTTCCAATCTAGGTTCTTATTGACCGGATGCAAGGTCTATTCAAGATTAAGTCCCGAGCCCAAATTGCCCAGACTTTCCTGGCCTATCTAGTGCTGAGCTTCAGATCTCTCTGGTCACTTGGTCACCCTCCAACTAAACAGTCCAGAGGTTCCATGGCCCACGCGACGGAGGGGTCAGGCACAGTCTTCCTCGTTCAGAAAGAAACGTGTCTTGCCTTGAAATGGTCGGTTTCCCGTCCGGTCACAGCCAGGCTGCGATGGAGCACTTCCAAGGAGCTGCCCACACACAAAGCCTGGCGAGGCCAAACCTGTGGCCTTCATAGCTTAGCATCACCCGGGCAGCCATCCATTTTGGAGCGGGGCAGCCTCTCTTGAAAAAGGCGGAGGGTGCAAAACACAGCTGCAGGAGAAGACACTTCACAGAAAAGGCAGAGAAGCTGCAGCGAAGACCGAACACCAAGAGTTCGCTCTTGGATTTTTCAGGCCTCATGATTATACCATCGCTAAGTGGTGGGTGGAATCCCCTCGTTTTCGGCCTTTGACAACCTCCAGGAACAGTCAAAATAATGACCCCAGTCCTTTGCTTTGCGCGGTCTATAGTTCTTGATGATGGGTCAGTCAAACAGGGTGAATTGATCAGCTGCCTGCGGCTGCTGGGATTTGAATTGGGAGGGGGCAGCATGAGCTGAGAAGTGAAGGTCAACCAAGCACTCCCTAAACTGGGCACATGCTCCAAAACTGGGCTGCACGTATGGAATGCATCCATCCCCTTTCTGAAAAGAACCCCGGGCGTGGCCACTTCGATACAGAAAGCTAGGCTTGCGCATCAACTTGGGCGACCAACTTCTCCACTCTCAAACTTGAATTTCAATGTCTCTCCAAAAGAACTCAGGGCCTCTCCACCCGGAAAATTGGATTGACAAATCATTTTTGTTAGCAGTTGCTACTAGTAAAGATCAAGAACTGTGGCGTGGTTAACGTTCAACCCTGAGGCTAGGATTCAGATAGCTTAGCTTCCTTTATCATGGTTTTGACAAAGGGCATAGATATAAGACGATACCAAGCACTAGGCGGGTTATTGTACTCGCAATCCGAGGAATTAAACACCCTGCGGAAAAAAGAGAGCAACAAAACGACATGTCCACCTCCTCTCACAGGTGCCGATGGTTTGGAAGAAGTGGGTGGAGGAGCACTCCTCCTTGGGGAGATCCTCAGTTCTCAAATAGCCCCCAGACATGGGCGGGGTTAAAAGGGGACGACAGGTGCTGGATCCACTGAGCAACCAGACTTTGACAGAAAGCGAAAGAGAAAAGGACGAGGAAAGAAAGAGAAAGAGACAAAAGAGGAAGACGAAGAGAAAGAGCAAGAGAAAGAGCAAGAGAACGAGCAAGAGGAAGAGGAAGATAAACAAAGAGAGAGAGAGAGAGAGAGAGCCAGAAGGGGAAGAGAAGTGTGCCCAGACTATAATTCGTATAGTTTGAAACTTCCCCTCCGGCTCCACTGGTAGCTGCATTGTAGATCACGAAGAAAGAAGATAGTCAGGGTATTTGTCGGGTGTTGTTCAGGGCAGGCTTCCCTTCGCCCTCTGAGCACCCTACAACAAAGACAGGACGAGCACACTCTAGTTGAGCAGAAAATCAACAGCCACGCCTTGGAATGGAGACACCCTATCAGCTTTTCGGAACAAGCGAGCTAAAAAGCACATCGACCTGCCAATCAAGGGAAGCGCTGCACATCAGAAGAATATATATTACCTTCACAGGTTCCATCAACTTGCCAAGTCCAAATGGCAAGAAGCGGCCAATTGGACAAGCCGAGCTTTCTCCTTGCAGCATTTGCAGCCCGGGATCTGCACAGGTCAAGTTCCACTCTTTCACGTCCGTCTTCAAGCACAGGCTTTTGCAGAAAGGAGTTGCCTCCCAGCAACGCGCAGGAGCTTGATGGACATGAGGTCATGTGCAAGTGTCTTGATTGCCACTTGTGCTTTGTAATCTCTCGATGCCTTGCGTGCAAATATTGCAGATGCACCAACTGAGATTCAAGTTCCACTGTTTTCTCAACTATCCCAAGCAAAGCCCGGCCGAATTGCACAAGCACAACTGCTCAAAAGAGGTTTCAAACTATTCAAACAAGAAACAAACAAAACAAAAGAGCCCCTTTGAATCCTGAACTCAGGCATTCCGGCAAAGCTATTTCCGTTCCTTTAACATGCTTGGATAAAGCCATTCCAGGCTCTGGCCGCCTCTCCTGCAGCTTCAAGTATCATGCGGATAGCTTGTGTATCAGCATGATTCAGGCCGACCACCCCTACTGAACCAAACAATAGAAACACATACCAAGCAGCTCTCTACTTCCACGCTGCAATCCTTTCAGTTTGTACCAACATATTTTAGTTTTTCTGTTGCAACAGTGCACTAAACTAACAATCAATCAATCAACCAATCAATCAATCAATCAAACAATAAATCAATCAAACAAACAATCAATCAATCAAACAATCAAACAAACAATCAATGAAACAATCAATCAAACAATCAATCAATCAATCAATCAATCAATCAAACAATCAAACAACCAATCAAACAAACAATCAATCAACCAATCAAACGAACAATCAATCAATCAATCAAACAATCAATCAAACAAACAATCAAACAAACAATCAATCAAACAATCAAACAAACAATCAATCAATCAAACAATCAATCAAACAATCAAACAATCAATCAAACAATCAATCAAAGAATCAATCAATCAATCAAACAATCAATCAAACAAACAATCACTCAAACAATCAATCAAACAATCAAACAAACAATCAATGAATCAAACAATCAATCAAACAATCAAACAAACAATCAATCAAACAATCAATCAAACAATCAATCAATCAATCAAACAATCAATCAAACAAACAATCAAACAAACAATCAATCAAACAATGAAACA